GTCAGGTCAGGCTATAGGGGTCCTGCCGGTCATCAATATTCCATACCTAGTAGATGTCAATCATCACTGAAAGCTTTGTTACATGCGCCAAACCTACTTCCGTAATGTACAAATGGGTGTTAACTGCTAAATTCTAAATCAGCTCCACAAACTACCATCTAGACGTGTGAAACTAAAAAAAGGCTATCGAGTATCGATTATCGGAATCAAATTACCTTGACCCAACCTTACCACCCACCACACTGCATGGGACTGATATTATTTCGCATGTTGGCACGTTTCTAAACGCAACAAGTCTGGAGCGATAATGTGACCCGACCTAGTCTGATGTCAAGGAAGAGGCCAGGGGTCAAGGGGAGCTGAAATCAACGTCATGAAATTCCAGGGGTTGGTGTGAAATTGAGAAGTTCGAGGATATACCTACTGAAAGCTCTGTCGCAATCCACTGCTCTTTACCCGAGTAATTCTGAAAAAAACGAGGAGTTCTATATTAACCTTCGCCCCAGTAGTGATGGGGGGGCATATGTTACCACCCTATCGCGTTTTTTACGTGTGAATAAAAAACCACGGCACGTAGCGCCGCGCCGCTTGAAGTAGCCTTTGGTACATCAATTTTGGACAATGTGTGAAATTTTTGACCCCATGTCATGTCAGGTCAGGTCACCAGGTCAAGTTAACTGACCAAGCCTAAAAAAGTTTGCAATCATGGCCAGCCTGCAGTGTTTGTCAGACAGGTTTTAAACTTTGTGGATTGCATGCTGTTATGGGCGCCTACAATTTGTATATCTCGGATTTTTTATATCCGTGACCTAAGGTCAGGTCAGTGGCGTGACCTTTCCATTACAAGTCAATGGAGAAAAATGAAAATGCCTCTAGATCCGTGTGTACGCATAGGAACAGTCCACATATTTCAGAATCACAATGATTTGGACCACCCGTGATGACCTAGGTGTCATTTTTGTTGATAGCCTCTAGAAAGGTCATCCGAGGTCATTTGAGGCTACAAACAGATTTTTGCCAATAACTCGCGATTGGAAAGAGATAGAACGCTGGGGATGGTCTCATTGTGTTTGCCTTGCCAAGACGTATCGACTGATATGCAGCATGACCTTTTCCGGTCAGGTCATGACCTTGACCTGAGGTCAAATTTTCAAGTTGACCTTTCAAGGTGGTCAAATTATAGTTCATTCGATGCGTCTCGGCGAGGGGAACACGATTCTGGCAATAGAAATGTCGTGGCTTTTTGTAGTCGAAAGTTATTGCCGAAAAACACTTTTCGTAAAAACAGCTATTTTTGGAGTTTTTGCCCTCTGGAGGCTACACCATTGACCTGAGGTCAATATTGATAGGACCTTTTCAAAAGAAGAGTTCAAAAGCTATCGATTGCTTTTCCATGCGTTTTTCTAGCTACCATAGTTCCTGAGATAGCGGCATGTTTTCTGAAAAATATAATGACAATTGGCAAACTTTGACTTTGATGACCTCTGGTGACCCCAATATTGCTCTAAGGTGAAAAATGACTGATGTACTTTCAAACGTACGCATTGAGAGCTATCGACTGCTTTTTACCGCGTCTTTCTAGTCCTCTTAATTTTTGATTTAGAGGTGGGTGGTAACATATGCCCCCCCCCCCCCCCCCAACTAGGGCGAAGTTGGCTGAGACCGCCACTGGGGCGCGGGTTAAATTGTCCTCTATATTATTACGAGGGAAATACAAACATCTATACAAATGATTCCAATGTCGCACATGTCGTTTAGGAGACTGTTTGCGCGACTGTTTAACTCTCGGGACTTCGACGATTGCATCCCAAAAACTCCGTGATGCGCTATGGTTCAGCCATGCGCTGCGAAAAAGTGGGGGCATTAAACGTCCCCCCCCCCACAGCCATTCCTGGGGTTATGCGCTTTGAAGCTTTTGGGAAAAAAAACGGAAGGGACAGATTCTGTCTCCCCCCTCCCCCATAGAACGGGGTTAACCCGCGCCCCGCTGGGGGGGGGGCAGAATCTGCCCCCCCTCCCGTTTTTCGCCAATAACTTCTAAACGCGTTACGCCAGCGACGTCAAACTTTCAGTACCTTATCATACATCAATTTGACACGTTCCCTGAAAATTTGAGCGAAATCCGTCGGAAAATTTTTGAGAAATTGACGTTTTAGTGACGTCATGTTCGCCATTTTCGCCTAAAAAACGGCAAAATTTCAAACGCCGCTAACTTCTTCATTTTTAAAGGAATCAAGACGTAACAAAAAAGTTTATAAGTGATTCTACTTTGTCTATCAAATGGTTATCTCGGTTTTTTGAAAATTTTGGATTTTGGCCAAAATTTTTCCAAAAAACTGACTTTTTTGGGAAAATATTTATAAAATCCAAAATTTTGAGTTTATCGAAAAAACCGGAATATATGTCAAAGAAGTGGTCTATGTGCACCTACATACCAATTTTTAGAAGATTCGGTTCGAAAATGTGGGAGTTATTCAAAATTTTATGACGTCACGACACACAAAAATTTTGAAAAATGATATTTTTGGAAGTTCTAGACCTCGTACGGAAATAAAAATAGCACCATTCGATTCGCCGTGAAAAAACTGCATCGGATAGACACCTTTTTAGGCCTTAACAACCAATTTCAAAATTTGACCTCACTTGACCTGACCTTGACCTGACCTCGACCTGAAATTCATCCAGAGGTGGTCCATATCACTTATTGAGTGTGCCTATTGAATTCCATGAGTAAAATGACCCATAAAACATGTGTCGCACATGCCCTTTTCTATATTTTGTTTTTGGTGACCTGACCTGACCTGACCTGACCTTGACCTTGACCTTTGAATGACATTGTGTGCAACGAATATTGTCTTGGTAGTCTAAGAACACGTTTTGGGCAATCAGTCTCAGTCCATTCTTCGGCAACTACGGTGCAAGGCCGATACTGTAGAAACTTGCATTTTGTACCCTTGACCTGACCTTGACCTGACCTCTGACCTACTTAAGCAAAAAAAATGGGCTCTTAAGATCCGCCTTGTTGAGAGCTTTCGATTGCCGTTTTCCCCGTCTTTCTACGACCATCGGTTCGGAAGTTAGACAGGGGGGGGGGGCAGAATCTGCCCCCCCCCCCCAGCAGGGCGCGTATGGCTGAATAGCCCAGCGGGGCGCGGGTTAATTGAGGGATAATTGAGTTAGGGTTAATTGAAGTCTGAAAATGGAATGGAACGCATTGCATTAAAAAACAAAAGAATGATCGAATATGGTGGTCTCTAAAAGGGCAAAAACGTTATTTGCTGCACATGGGACATACAAACCTATGTCAGAACTCAGAAAGTAATCTAGCCCTTCCCTCTTATTAGAGTCAACCACATGGACGTTCGTCCGCCAAAACACCCCCCCCCCCCCTACCAAACGAGGCGCTATGACACGATTCCCGAGCCTGTTTGACCTTCAACCACGAGCCCCCCCCTCCCCCACCAGTCACATGACCCCCCCGAGTAACGGTGCTGTATTCCACGGAACCCCTCCCCATCCCCACCCCCACATCGAGACCCCATGATACATCTCTCAGCGCCGTTAAAGCTCGATCTACATCGAATCTCATGCATGTCGCTCGCTGTTTTGCGTTCCGAATGGACCCCTTACCGGAGCACCGGTGTTGTAAGGTACGGTGTGGACCGAGCCTAACGGTTCACCGGGGGGTTGAAATGGCGGAACACAGTTACCCATCTGCATCGGAGGCGGGGAGACCGGTGTGTGTCGGCTCGGAGGGGTGGTTCCATGAAGGGGCGGCAGAGAAAGTCATGGGGTGGTGCAATCAGGAACGCTAGGAACTCGGTAGCTTTTTAGGGGGGGAACTTTAGGAGCACGGGAGAAGAAGGAAAACATCTTTGGTTCGCGTTTTTATTAGTTTTGATAGCAGTTAGTTATTGAAAAGTTGCCTCAGATTATTTGATATATATTTAATTGGAAAAAGCTTTCAGCAACGCCGCTAGCCGACTAATATTTATTCTGACCGAAATAAGTATTTACTATTGTAGCTAATGTTAGGATATTGTACTGTTATGCTAAATAGTCATTGTTATCTGATTATTTGAATGTTATCCTACAATTGATTTTGAACTAAGGCGGCGTGTAGTCAAACAAAAACTGCAACAGAAATATTGTAACATTTTGTTAGATTAAGTAGAATTGACGCAGCATAATACTTGGAAAAATTCAAAATTACTCAACGCAACCAAAGGAGCCATGGCAATGTCCACGATATCTCAACCATTGCTTTATTGTTGCTGTTTCTTTTTGTGCCGCCCCCTTCCTTTGATATCGGGATGACAAATAAAGTCGGTTTGTTACAAAGATTATGTTCGTACCTAGAGCCAATATGCGTGAGTGGATCATGATTACCTTTATGGTCTAGGTCACGCTTTGAGGCATAAAACATTGAAAATGGATACATACTGTTACCCAACTCAATTGTAAGTCTTAGCTTGGCAGATGAGCTTAAGTTCATTTATTTTCCTGTAGCTACTTCACCAGAAAGTTATGTATTTCATTAAGTTTTAAAGTTATGTTGTTGTCATCGGATTTTCAGCCGGTTGGCCACTGAATGAGCAAGAGCTTCTTTCAAGAATGACCACAATGCTTGTAATGATACCAGGCCGTTGGTAGAATAATTCAAATCAGGCCATGCGTTGGCTTTTTATCGGTTCCAATCTGTATGCGAAATTTCATGAAGGCGTTGATCTAGACCTAGTAAAGCACTCTTTGCTGCGCTAATATTTTGAAATAGCCTAGATAATAACCAAGATAGACGCCCTAAACCCTACATGAGAAGGCAGGCCTATGTCCATGACCTAAACCTTTCTTCCGCGGTGTTCTCGTGCCGTAACTGCTGACTATTTATTGTCCACCCACTCATCCATTCACAGCTGTGGGAGTTCGAGAAACTCTGCACCACCACTAGTCCTGCCAACCAATGCGAAACAAAACCATCTCTCAATGGAGTCCGAAAGTACGAAACACAACCTTTATTATCCGCAACAAACCAGATCAATTGTTACACTTGGTACCCGTGCTAGGGCTGCCTTTTCTGCACCTTTCTACACATATATTTACGTAACAGTGGCTTACATTCGAGTTGTACACGCAGGTTGGAGTATCATTGCAACGAAATCATTCGTCGGCACGGACTAGATGGCACACAGAACACGACAGACGCTGACAGCAGCTGACAGACGCTGACAGCAGCTGACAGCTACTGACAGACACCGACAGACGCTGACAGCAGCTGCCGGCAGCTTCTGTCTGCTACCGGCAGACGCTGGCATTCACTAGCAGCTGCTGGCAGTCGCAGGCAGCCGCAAGCAGCTGCTGGCAGACGCTGACAGACGCTGACAGCAGCTACTGACAGCTGTTAGCAGGTGATGCCCGTCACTATCAGATGTTGACAGCGTCTGGCAGGCAGTCACTGCCTGCTGCTTCCAACAGTCACTGAGAGGTGGTGGCAGTCGTTTACAGCCATTGACAGTCACTGGCAGCTGCTAGCAGCTGCTAACAGCTGCTGACTGCCGTTGACAACCACTGACCGCCGCTGAAGTTACTGGTGACTGCCGACAGTCACTGACAATCACCGGCACCTCTCAGTAGCTCACGGAGGCTTCAAACAGCTCTCGACAGCTCCCAGTAGCTCTCAGTAGCTCCCAGCAGCTCCCAGTACCTCCCAGTAGCTCTCAGTAGCTCTCAGTAGCTCCCAGTAGCTCCCAGTAGCTCTCAGTAGCTCTCAGTAGCTCCCAATAGCTCCCGGCACCTCTCAGTAGCTCTAGTAGCTCTCAGCAGCTCCCAGTAGCTCCCGGCACCTCTCAGTAGCTCTAGTAGCTCTCAGTAGCTCCCGGCACCTCCCAGTAGCTCTCAGTAGCTCCCAGTAGCTCCCAGTAGCTCTGGTAGCTCTCAATAGACGTAGATCTGTTTGAGCTGCTCGCGATACTCCTCAGGAATCGTACACTGGTGCGTGTTCTGTTTCAGCAGGTTTTTGCGGGCCTTTCTCGCGGCCAGACGCAGAATGGACCTGTACTTCTGGAGACCCCTCTCCGGCGGGATCTCGACGTACTGAAACGGAAGAGAAATGGGGTCAGCTGGGGTGGTCGCAACACATCACTTCTTTTCGACGAACTGTTTGACTTTCAGTTAGGCAGCCGATGCTGTGCGCCCCCCCCCCCCTCCCCCCAGACGGTTCAAAGTTCCAACTAGTTTAGACAGGCCACCCAGTCAATGAAACGTTTCCATAAACAGGAATGTATCACTTTTGGATTAGCTCTTGAAGCACACAAAACGCGAGTCATCCTTTGGTTCGGATTTATCGCAATCTAACACCGCTCGTACAGTTCTTTCTATTCGTTACGTCTCATCACTAATCTGCCGAAATAGCTGACAATTTCGCATTAACCACCTCTACTTTCAGTCGCTTCTAGCCTGAGCTCGTCAACTCAACACTCACCCTCCCACTCACTCCACTCGGGAGTTTGACTCACCGGCAGAAAAGGTGACCTCACCCTCCCACTCGCTCCACTCGGGAGTTTGACTCACCGGCAGAAAAGGCGACAGGAAGAGCGCAGAGTCAGTCCTGGTGAGAGCCGACTCTCTCCTGAGGTCGGCCGGCAGACTCGCACAGCCTGAACTCTGACTCGGAGTCGACGCCAGTGACAACTGACTCAGCCACGAGCTGCCGGAGATCCCTGACTCGGTGGAGTCGCCCAGTCGCCGCAGTTCAGCCGAGCACGAGTGACTCGGGTGCATGATGACTCGGGTTGTTGCGAGTCGGTGGGCGTATTCACAGAGACGATCTTCGGAGTAGGATAGTCAACTGGTAGAGTTCCTCAGAGTCTTGAAACGTCTCAAAAAGTCAACCTGGATTCAAACTGGAGTCGAGATGGAGTCTTGAGTCAAACTTGAGTCGAGATGGAGTCTTGAGTCAAACTGGAGTCGAACGTGAGTTGAGCGGAGTGAGGCAGTGCCACAGCCTGTGTTGAGTATTTTTCAGGTGGCGTTCGGCGTATGTACGAGTTTGTTGATCTTGTTGGTCAGACTGGCCGGTGAATCCACAGACCAGCTGTGGTTCTCAGCGGAGTCCGGCTGTGGTTCTCAGATGAGACCAGCCACAGTTCTCCACACAGACCAGCTGGTGGGTGGCGCTGAAGCCTCCGCCTCCCCTCTCCTCACGAGACGCTACTCCGGTGCGACTGCCCGCCCGACCGCCGGACGCCGCCTATATCACCTCACCGCCCGGTCACGTGACCAGAGCCGCCGGCGGCTGCGGCGGTCACGTGCCCCGCTCGGCTGGACGGCGGCTGGACCACGTGACCTGTCCTGTGGTGCAGGTCATGTGACCTGCAGTGGCCGGCAGGGGGGGCGGGAGGGGAGGGGATGGGAGGCTGGAAATGGGCAGGGCTGTCCACTGTGCAGCGGTGGGATGGCGCTGAGTGAGGGGGGATTCTGATTAGGGGAGATGTCACTGCGGGCTGGCCCATCTGAGCTACCCAGCGCTAACCAAGACAATAGAGGCAGCGGGAGGAAGTTGAAACCGGAGACAGCCAGAGCAAACCGATCGTAAGCTGAGCTCATGTCTAATGTTAGACTGAGCTTAGCATAGGGAATAGCTAGAGCAAGGCTGTACCAGAGGATGGGTAAGAGCTTGATTTGACAGTGACTGCTGTCGTAGTGGCTGTTTACGGGTCACATTTGATCACAGCTGGGAGATAGAGCCTTGAGGTGACGGAGGTATCTAGGAGGTAAATACGGAGGTTGGTTTGAATCCCTGTCGGATTCCAACAGACATCCTGACACCTCGCCCCGACATGGTTGCTCCAACACACCGGGACAACATATCGAACAGTCCCCTGCATACTCGTTGACAGTACCTATTATTCATGGTTGTCTCTAAGGCAATCACATTTTCCCTGTCTACGCCTCATAACACCTGGGCTGTCGGTAAGTTTCTGCTGTCTCTGACAGTCGTTCAGTCTCTGTTTCTGACAGTCAGTCTCTGCTAAGTCTCTGCTGTTTCTGACATTTGATCAGCCTCCGCTGTTTTTTACAGTTGGTTTTATAGGGTCTGTTCCAGTCGCACTTCCTAACACCTCGAAACTCCTCCAAGATTGCTTCCCTGTTCCAGTGGCAGCACTAGCCCCTACAAAGCCAAGGAGGGCCCTGCTCCAACCTCCTCTATCTTGCTCTTGGAGGAGTTTAGAGGTGTTTAGGAAGTGCGACTGGAACAGGCCCATAGTGTCTGCTGTCTCTGACATTCGGTCAGTCTCTCGACTGGATAGGACAGCGTCTATGACAGTCTCCCCCGGTCCTGACAAGTCCTCTGAGAGTCGCTGCCGGATCTGACAGCTCTGTGACAGCGCCCCCCCCTCCTCCCCCCGGCCCACCCTGGCCCGGGTTCGGTCTGTCGTCGGGCGCGTCCCGATCCTATCTCTCAGCCACCCCCGCCGCTACCGGCGCCGGCCGACTCCATTTGAATGTGCCGCGAACAAGGAGTGGTCTGGACCGGGACACAGTGCCGCGGTCGGCACATGACCGCCTGAGTTCGGGGAAGGGTTGAACCGAGCCGGCCGCGCTGAGGGTGCCGGCTGGTGACTGTATGGGTAATGAGGGGGAGGGTGGGGGAGTCACGGGACACCGGCGTGGTCACTGGGGAGGGGGGGAGGCTGTGTCACGAGACACATACATGGCGTTCGGGCGGGGGGAGGGAAGAGGCTGTGTCACGAGACACATAGTTACATGGCGTTCGGGCGGGGGGAAGAGGCTGACGAGACACATATATATAACTATAGTTACATGGCGTTCGCGGAGGGAGGGAGGGGGAGGAGGGGATATGTATATGGTGTTGGGGAGAGGAGGGAGGGTCATAAAAGGAGAACAAACTTGACAAATGGGGAGGAATGTGGAAGGAAGAAGTGGAAGAATTCCTCATGTGTTCAGTGATCGCATAAAAGCCTTGCCGTCATGTGCACTTGCTTGTGCGATGCATGCTGCATGTGCCATATATTATGAATTGGAGTTCATGTGTGCTCACAAAGTGGTCTGCCCTGTCCTTTGTTCGGAGGACATCTTTGCGAAGCTGCAGAACTTACTTTGTAAACACGTAAAAGACGTGACGGAAAAGCGTGATGGTTTGTCATTTGTTGAGGATTTTGTTAACGATGAAAAAATGAACTATGAAATATCTGTCTGTCTGTCTGTCGGTCTGTCTGCTGTCTGCCTGCCCGTCTGTCTGTCTGTCTGTCTGTCTGTCTGTCTGTTTGTCTGTCTGTCTGTCTGTCTGTCTGTCTGTCTGTCTGTCTGTCTGTCTGTCTGTCTGTCTGTCGTCTGTCTGTCTGTCTGTCTGTCGTCTGTCTCTGTCTCCGTCTCTCTCTCTCGCTCTCTCTCTCT